TGCAGAGCTGCTCTAAATCTGATCCCTCTCAGTGTGAAATTTGAAAATGAGGTCAGATCTTGATTGTGCAAAGTGATTGGCCACACCTTCATCAATCTGCTTTTATACTAACTTCTTTTCTTTATTTTTTTCTGTTTTTGTTGTTGAAGAATTTGTCAATTATTCAGTTACAGTACAAAGTACAAAGTGAATTCTTCAGATGTCTTGGTTTGTTTTTTCACGTGAGCCTGAAGAGTGGATGAGTCAGCACAAATCTACCAGCACAGGACATGTTAGGGAGGATAAAGCAGATATCAGTTTATCATACTGTTCACAGGCCACGCTGGATCATCTGTTGTGGGCCTTTCTGTCTGTGTGGGAACACTGTATCCACTTCCAGTCCATGGCTTTAGCTCTGACTGTAACATATTGCTATCGTTTTATTTCTTATGCCATAGTAGTAATGTTCTGTGTCATTATTGACCTTAATTTATGCCCACACCTTCCTGCCCCGTGATGCTCTCATGCGGTTCAGCCTCAGATGTCCCCACACACATCCTGTTTCTTCCAGCTTGTGTGACATTTACCACCTACACATCTTTGGAGCTTCAAAAACCAGATGACCCCTTTGCTCTTAGCTTGTCAGTTCATCATTAACTCTTGAAGTGACACAAAGAAGAAGACCTGTGTAAAGGTGTACCTGCCTCCCGCCCAATGTCTGCCGGGATTTGCTGCAACACCCTCCCCGGCATATAAGTGATAGATTAATCATTCGGCCAATATCTGGCATTTTGACATTGACATTGGCCGATACTTTTCATGAGGATTCACGAGGCCGACACCATTCCTGGCTAGTGTGAAATATATATTGTGATACTGTAGAGAATAATGCAGCTGAATAATGTCACTTCTGACAAACTGTTCTGAAATTACTACAGCATAACCCAATGTAATATGTGTATACAGTATATATGTATATATAAAATGTATAATATAAAAATCCATGTAAAACAACACATCACTGGCTAAGATGACAATGTATATTAGATTGTACTCTGCATGGAATATTATACATGACTTTTCTTTGTTTTGATATCGGCATTATATATATCGGCCACAGGCTGCCCTGCTCGCTAAATGTCAGCATCGACCATTAAAAAACCCATATCGGTCGACCACTATAGCTCATGGATAGATAATGAATGGGTACTCGGGCTTTAGGAAGTTGTGATGCACATTTAAAAATATATATTTTTTACCTTTGACAAAGTAATCGATGTATTAATTGATTATAAAATCAAGATTTGCATCCCTACAATACTGCATTAGGCACTTCACAGAATTTATCCTGGGAACTTAATTTCTTCTACATTTCAGAAGGCAGCCACAATACTATTTATTTTTCAATGGAAAATTGTAAAAGTACAGGTTATAGGCTAAAATACAGTTGAGCAACAATTAAAACAAATCAAAACATTATGTATATTGAAACATTATAAGGCTGCTATGAACTGTACCAGATGCTTCAACTAATAACAGTATCCACCTTAATAATCTTTTTGAACAGAGACTGAATGTCTCTCACTACTTCATCTGAAACTTCTGCTTGTATTGACAAGATTGCAGCGTGATATCTGCAGACAGCTGGCTAGGTAGCGTTAGCTCCCCGACAGGTAGAGACAGACAGAACAAAGTTAAATCTGTCCAACAAAACGCAAACCAAGACCTCGGAGTTCCAAGTTTTTTTTATCCATTCCTCTCATAGACGTGATCGATACATTCACTGCGAGATTCCCTGAGCCAGCTAGCCGCCCTGAGTCAGTCCTGTATACCTTAGTGAGTACCCAAATATTCACATCACAGTTTCCAAGACTGGTGCAATTCAAGATGGTTAATGTTAGATTAAAATGGATAGAACTTTAACATACACAATGTGAACATCTGACACGTTGGGCAGCCCTTATTGTACCATGTATTTAATGGTGGAAAGTAAATAAGTACATTTATTCAAGTGCTGTACTTGGTACAACGTTGAGGTACTTGTACTTGAGTAGTGCCTAGGGGGGGCGTGCAGTGAAGATTGACTACCAGCTATATACAGCGTGTTAGCCTCAAAAACCCAGCTGTATTCTAACATTAACTTAGCTCTCCTTATTAGCTAGGCTCCTTACATGCTTGCTAATAACTTTTTTAAGCTGGGTCTCTGACTTTGTTGTGTTGGACAGATTTGTGAAGCTATGTTCATGAGGGAGAGGGAGCGAGAGGATGTGCTGCGCGAATATGTGCTGCCTGCAGCTCTGTAGTCAAATACGATTTTAATCAAAATGAAACGATTGTTGTGCCGCATGTTGTTTTGCACTGAGCCTCAGATGTGTCTTGTGTTATAAATCCACCGCACCCTTTCCCTTACCCAAAGCCCAATCTCCCTCTCAGCAGGCTGTGAAGTTCAGCTGGAGCTAACGTGACAGGATAATAACTGCTACAACTTGCTAGGAATTATTAGCTCAAGCCTATGGCATTTTACACTGCAGAAATTAGCCTAGCGGCTAGCGGACTTCTCCACAAATCATAGCTTAACAATTTACACATTATTAATGCTTATACTAAAGCAGGTGTGTTAATCCTTGCTTTACCAGGTCTGTGCTTGTAAAATATTCACCGTGACCCCATCTTACCAGATTTATACTTTTCTTATTGTTAGTTTAAGTAACTGCATCTCCTGACAGAACATCACTTGTGTTGAATTACAGCTTTATGGAACATAACAAGTAGTCGTGAACTCGAGTAGTTCACCTGTCCCCTTCTCTGCTGCACTCCGTATGCACTCACACGCACACACACACACACACACACACGAAGCCCCCAAGGTGGCCCATCCGCCCCCTGAAGCAGTCAGCCTGGTAAGACTGTGCTGCATCTTCCTGTGCTTTTTAAAATTAGAAATATTCAATTACTTTTTCTTATTTCACGGGCACTTTCCGATAATGCACAATCATTTAAAGAAATTAAGCATTCAATTTTCAGTTAAATAAATGTAAATGTTTCCTAAGTCAATCAGTAATCGTGTTAATAACCTCAATTATTATTTTTTGCTATAATCGAGCAGCCCTATTATTGAATTTTTAATACTTTATTAATGTGACAAAAAGTTTTCAGCGGTTTCCATTCATCTTGTCCGTGTGAGGAACAGGCTGCAGGATGCTGAGCCCTCCAGTTTCTTCTGGCTCCATATGGAAATTGACAGGAAACATGCGGGGCATGTGCACCACGGAGTGTTGGAGTGTAGTCAAGGCTGGATTAGTACCCCCAGGCGCCCTTGGGGACTGAAGCTTATGGCCCCCCCTCCTGTCATTTCACTCACAAATCACAAGACAAGGAAACAATAGATAAAATCATCCCAAGGCAGCGTATGACTGTACTATGGCTATATTTGTGTTTACTGAAAACCACCCAAGCAGACAGCACAGCAGTCGTTACTGATATATAATGTGATTGACCAGGAACAGGCTTACAACAGATTTCAAAATAAGGCTCACTAAATGAGCTAGGCAACATGTGATGAACATGACCAACCGACTCCAACACATAAAGCAGCATCACACCACTGTGATGAATTAGTGACGCAGTTGTGACCTCGGATGAAAATGAACACTGTGATTAATAGTGGATGGGATGCAGGTGGGTGAAACAGGGTGAGGTGTCTCCCCATTAAGAGAGACACTGTGTGCATTTACACACAAACTTGATTATTTAAATCTCCCGACACGCCAACAGGATTATTTAGGACGGATTCTGAAAGAAAAAAAAAAGAAATACATATATAAATAAATGCTCAATAAATAAATAAAGATCTGATTAAATGCACAATACAGTGAAAAAATAAACGTAGACAATAATTAAATTATACGAGACATAAATGTATATATCTCTTTTAATTAGCTTCTTTATTTATTTACCTTTGTAATAATTCTTATTTATTTATTGTCCGTTATAATCTTAAACTTTATTTATTAATGACTTCTTTTTTTAATCTATTCATTTATGTGTGTGTTTTAATATTTTTGTCTGTTTTATTCTTCCTTTGCATTTCTACCATTTATTTCCACAATGGTTATATATTTCTGCCTGCTACATTTCTCTATGCATTTCTATCTCATTATGTAAATGAGGAGGGGCTGTGTCTCAAGGGGTCATCTTCTCCCCTGTTGGTGGACCAATCAGAGACATAGGTCAAATTATAAAGTCACATATCAACAAGCCTCGCTCCCCACACAGTCACAAGAGATGGCTTCCTTTAGTGAACTGAAGTGATTAGCAGCTCTATCTGAGGACAATTCTGCCATCTGTGTCTTCCTTCCTTTTCGTGTGAACGCTCTGACAGACAGTGGTTTCTGTTTGCACGGATCTAATGTTAATTAATGTTCTTCAGCACATCCAAAAACCAGTTTTACTAGTGGTCAAACCAGACATTTTCCTAAAGACTTGCATTGTGAAAGAAGCTACTGTGAAACAGAGGATAATTTTTTTTAAGTGTGTCAACCCCCATGAAATCAGAATTTGTTATCATTTGTCTAGAAGAGCCGCACGATTTTCATTTTACCCCCATTCAAGTTAGCGGAGGGCTAAAACGAAAGTTAGATGGCTTAGTACCTGAAGAGCTTGTTGTAACTTTGTTGAGGTTGTGTTGAGTGTGTGTGTGTGTGTGTGTGTGTGTTTCTGTGTGTGTGCTTGGATGACAGTATTCACTGTAGTGCTCTCTCACAGTGTCGCAGAGCCCAGCTCAGCTTTCAGTTAGACGCATGAATACATGAGTCTGCCCATGCTACCTCTTTGAATTTGTCTCATTGATCCATTGCTAGAATAGTCAGAGGTTTTGATAATCTCTTTTACAGACTTTAGTGAGTACAATGTATTCATAACAATCACAATAATCAGAATAATAAGAATGATTGTTGAAGATTCATTGTGAAAACAGATCCAGATGTGCTAACAGTAACATGTAGCTGTGATGTTTATTTCAGACTCCTGGATGTTGGAGTAAGGAAACCGGAGAGAAGAGGAGCACCCACCAGCGCTCTGCGTCCTGGGGCAGCGTCGACCAGCTCAAAGAGGCATGACATTAACATGACTACAGACACAAACACGTTTAGGTCAAACCTGTTGTTTGATGCACAGGACTGTAGATCTCCACAATGTGGGGTTTAGATTGTGGGTTTACAACATTTTGGCACTTGTATGAGCCTATATGAACTACAGTTACCCAGAAACTACTTTTTTTTATGAGTGAAGTATTCATGCTTATTAAGTTATTGTGTTGCATTTTGCTTATAGGGATCGGTCATGATTTTCAAATTGTCATTAAATTATAAAATTTACTACTACTGTCTTGAAGAGGTCATATTCTGCTTTTTGGCCTTTTCCCTTTCGTTTATTTTGTTATATATGTATTTTGTGCAAGTAATAAAATTAGGAACCTGAAAATGAGCATAATATGACCTCTTTAAAAATGTATTTACAGGCCCCTGGTAGTAACACGTCACTACCAGGCATGGATAAAACATGTGGAAGAATGGTTGAATAGTTTCCAGTGACTATCAAATAGTATTTTTTTCTTGAAATGTCCATCCCTAGTTGCTTTGCTCTCTCTGCCAGCACATAAAGCTGTGAAACTAATGGCATTAGAAGTCTTATTACTGCTTGAGGTGAAAGAGATGGGTGCATGCAGGTGCATGCTTAGCAAATTCAGCATACCAGGGCTTTTCCTGGCTCAAAATGAGGCGTGGATGGTACCATCCCGATCACTTGCACACACATGCATGTGTACCGGGCCTGCTGGCTCAAGCAAACACTTTTTACAAGCAGCGTATTTCAAAAGTTCTAATAATGATATATGATTTCAGAAAATGGCAGAAAATTATCATGTTAATGCATATTATATTAACAAATGAAGGTGACCTGTTCAACATAAATGCTAATGTTCAAATCAAAATATAACATCAGCTCTTGTTTTCATTTGTAGTTCAGAGTCCTCCTGCAGTGTGACTGATTCATGAAAACTAAATGTTTCATTGTAGACATCGTCCAATGGAAATTTTGTAGACATAGCTCAGCCCTACTGTGTGACATCACAGGTTTGGTGTATGTGTCTTTGTGGTGCAGATGGTGTACAGCAGCAACAGAAACATCCTCTGAAGCTGCACAATCTCAGAACCTCTTGGGCCAAGACTTCCGCTTCGTGTGCCTGTCATTATTTACAGTCTGATTAGCAATCTCAGAAGCCATCGACTGTCGTCTTTTTTGAATTTGATTTGAATGCAGGTACATTTTTTATTAAGTTAATAAGAAGCTCATCTCCAGGTTTCAGAGATCAATTAAAAAGTTGAATCGTCGTCAGAAGATAGGCAGTGGGTGAGATTGAATTTCGGCCAATGTGCTCGGACTGTTCACCTGCATGCAACGACAGCCCACTCAAATGTGATTGGTCAATACTAAGACTACAAACTAAAAACGGAAACCAGAACGGAAACCAGTGATATGCAGATATCTGTTTATAGAGATTACACCTGGCATGGCACTATCAGCCCTTCTCAGCTCCACCCTGGTGATACTCTGCAGCAGCAGGGAGGCGGCAGATAATGCTATCTCACTCTTAACTATCCACTTCCCCTCTGTGCAATGGCCAAACTCCCACTGCAATTTATGGCCCGCCAAACCCCAGCTGGCTCCTCTCTGCCTTCTGCAGCAAAGGGAACAATAAGGGCCGGCCGGATGACGGCTCAGCCCTCGCTAATTGTGTGCACAGGCACGTTACTGAGTTACAGGGCTGCAGAGGAGAAGCAGCGCTGACACAGATTCCACAGATGTCAATAGACAAGCTACAAGGAGGAAGAGGAGAGGGGACAGGCTTGAGCAGTGTAGCTGTTTTAAAGAGCTACACCACAAATGTTTCCCGTGATATTAGTGTGGATAATCAGTCTTAGCTGTCTTATCCTGTCTGTGACAGTATGTCAGAGTAGGTGTGTTGTAGTTGATGAGTTATTTTCAGTCTTTTTTTATGAAAGCTAACCTAGTCTTAGTCGAAGAAAACTCTTGTTTTAGTTGGGTTTTCTATCATAGTCGTGTTTAAACTATTGTTAGTTGGAGAAGTGTAAGTGAAGAAGTAAGTGTGAGCACTAATGCCACCTAGTGGCTCTGTAAGTGAGCAGCTATGGTTCAGGGTTGTAAAGCACCGGTCGTAGTTATCACCGCTCTCCACCTGGAGTGTTGGCCAGAACACGACTTAAGGCCAGGATGTACTTCTGGAGTATCGGGACAGGCATTGACTTCTTACAGGAAATGAGAGTCAAGATGGAAGGATGGTTCAACGTTATTGTATTCAGGACATAAATGTGTGTGGGTGTGGTTTCTTCAGAATATACTGTCTATTGTATAACTACAATGAGAGCAAATTAAACCCCACACCTGATGCCCTCTTTACAGCGTAGCTGACATTTAGCGATACATTTAACAGTAGCCACACTGCTCTTTAACACAGACATTCCTGTAAACATCCAACATGAAGTATGTCTGTTAACTAAATAGAAAGGATCCTTAGGTCAACTTAATAGAGAGCCTAAGTCCCTCCCCTTCCGGTGGACCACCATGGGACCTTATTTCGGACAAATATTGTACGGTAGTCAATGGCGAGGAACAACAAATATTTTGATCCCGTTTGAATTGTGCACTGAATTACACATATGATGTTTGTCAATTTAAAAGATACATTTTAAAGTCAAGAAAGTTGCAGTTTGATGTAAAACTGTTCAGGTATAAGACTTTAAAAATACATAATTACAAAGACCACAAACCCAAAAGTCACATATGTGATGTCATAACTGTCTCTCTCAATGACTGAAGCTAACGTTTCTGAAGAACTTACAAAACTTACATGAGAGGATGATGTGATAAAAGGACTGAGAGTTGTTGGATTAAACACATCAGGTGACATATGGGTCATTCCATCGAATGGGTGCCATTTCTGTCCCCAGGACATAAAATGTATAATTATGCATTAAATTTACTTTAAAATACTTTTTATTATTAAGCAAAGTGCCCTGCACATTAGTCTAATTGCAAATGCAAGATAAATCAATTTAAACATTAATAAAAATGATCTAGAACACTGAAAAATAGCATTTGTTACCTGTCCCCAGTTCCTAAAACTACACTCTACAATGTAATATCATAATTAAAAAACTTGGACATTCCACAAGTCCCATGTTTAAGAGAAGGTTGCATCATCTGCATCCTCTGAAGGTCATGAGAAGACCAAAAGTATCATATTATATCAAACTAGATGACCTAATGCATCCATTGGTACCATGCATTTATTTGCATTTGGTATAAAAAGGTTTTTTCCCCCTCGTGTATTTGAATATTTCTGCATACTGTTAGCAAGCACTCATTCCTGTTACCCTTCGGTCATACCTGCTACCCTGGGCTCATTCTTGTTACCCTGGGCTCATTCTTGTTACCCTGGGCTCATTCCTGTTACCCTGTGCTCATTCCTGTTACCCTGGGCTCATTCCTGTTACCCTGCGGTCATTCCTGTTACCCTGCGGTCATTCCTGTTACCCTGGGCTCATTCCTGTTACCCTGGGCTCATTCCTGTTACCCTGCGGTCATTCCTGTTACCCTGCGGTCATTCCTGTTACCCTGCGGTCATTCCTGTTACCCTGGGCTCATTCCTGTTACCCTGCGGTCATTCCTGTTACCCTGGGCTCATTCTTGTTACCCTGGGCTCATTCTTGTTACCCTGGGCTCATTCCTTTTACCCTGTGCTCATTCTTGTTACCCTGGGCTCATTCCTGTTACCCTGTGCTCATTCCTGTTACCCTGGGCTCATTCCTGTTACCTTTCGGTCATCCCTGTTACCCTGGGCTCATTCCTGTTACCCTGCGCTCATTCTTGTTAACCTTCGGTCATTCCTGTTACGCTGCGCTCATTCCTGTTACCCTGCGCTCATTCCTGTTACCCAGCGCTCATTCCTGTTACCCAGCGCTCATTCCTGTTACCCTGCGTTCATTCCTGTTACCCTTTGGACATTCCTGTTACCCTGCGGTCATTCCTGTTACCCTGGGCTCATTCCTGTTACCCTGCGCTCATTCCTGTTACCCTGCGCTCATTCCTGTTACCCTGGGCTCATTCTTGTTACCCTGGGCTCATTCCTGTTACCCAGGGCTCATTCTTGTTACCCTGGGCTCATTCCTGTGACCCTTCGGTCATCCCTGTTACCCTGGGCTCATTCCTGTTACCCAGCGCTCATTCCTGTTACCCTGAGCTCATTCCTGTTACCCTGTGCTCATTCCTGTTACCCTGGGCTCATTCCTTTTACCCTGGGCTCATTCCTGTTACCCTGGGCTCATTCCTGCTACCCAGCGCTCATTCCTGCTACCCTGTGCTCATTCCTGTTACCTTGTGCTCATTCCTGTTACCCAGCGCTCATTCCTGTTACCCAGCGCTCATTCCTGTTACCCTGAGCTTATTCCTGTTACCCAGGGCTCATTCCTGTTACCCTGTGCTCATTCCTGTTACCCTGGGCTCATTCCTGTTACCCTGTGCTCATTCCTGCTACCCTGGGCTCATTCCTGTTACCCTGGGCTCATTCCTGTTACCCTGGGCTCATTCCTGCTACCCAGCGCTCATTCCTGCTACCCAGCGCTCATTCCTGCTACCCAGCGCTCATTCCTGCTACCCAGCGCTCATTCCTGCTACCCAGCGCTCATTCCTGTTACCCTGAGCTCATTCCTGCTACCCAGCGCTCATTCCTGCTACCCAGCGCTCATTCCTGCTACCCAGCGCTCATTCCTGCTACCCAGCGCTCATTCCTGCTACCCAGCGCTCATTCCTGTTACCCTGTGCTCATTCCTGTTACCCTGGGCTCATTCCTGCTACCCAGCGCTCATTCCTGTTACCCTGTGCTCATTCCTTTTACCCTGTGCTCATTCCTGCTACCCAGCGCTCATTCCTGCTACCCTGCGCTCATTCCTGTTACGCTGCGCTCATTCCTGTTACCTTGTGCTCATTCCTGTTACCCTGTGCTCATTCCTGTTACCCAGCGCTCATTCCTGTT